GCCGAGAGGCTGCAGCCAATCAGGGCCGCGATTGACGGCCCGGTTTCCCCATGCGCCGGGTCTCCACCAGCCGCCGGCGTCGTTCCATCTTAGTCAGTCCAACCGAGCGATGCGTCATGCCGTGTGCCTCCGGAATCTCTCTGTTCTGCCAGGCGCGCCCATCTTGTCGTCACATCGCCAATGCGGCAGACCGTCACAAACAAACGCACGGACACCAACGCGTGCAAATAACCCTGTAAGTAGGTATATACACAGACACATGGACATACAGCGAGAGGTCACATACGTCATAGGCAGACTGGCCAAATGGGTGATTTTGGGACGAACGTGACTAGTCAGGCCGGGCGATGAACCAAGGCAGCGGATGGAGAAGAAGCGGTGATACCAGCGCACCGGTCGCCGGCATGTCAGACCGGTTCAGTCCGTTGCTGGGCCTAGACAGACAACGGGCCACACACAACAAACAGGCTTGACCGACGTCTCTTGTCCAATCCAGTTATCCGTTACGCTCCAACCGACCAGCCGAGCGTATCGGCTCCGGTATCACTTTTCATTCGGCCACCGAGTCTACCGAATCAGCCTCCTTCCAACTCTGGCCTCACGTCAACCAGACTGTTGTGATGGGCGACGGAAAGGCGCACCTCGAGGCGAGCCACCATACCCAGCCCAAAAGCAGGCCGGCAACGATGGCATCGAGCGGCGCGTTTGTCTGGCCCTGCGACTTCTGGGCTTCTGGTGTCGTGGCCGGGCGCGCGAAGCCGCGTCGGGGTGGGGCTGCCAGGGGGCCCAAGTGCTGGAGATGCCCTAGGGTTGTGTGACCTTCAGACGCAGGTGGGTTGGCTCTTCAGCATCGCCCGGGCACTAAAGTGTTCGGCCCACTTGGCGCTAGTAAAAAGCCTCTCTCACCAGAGGACCCTCCACAAGTCGGTTGGCATGTTCAGCCCACAAAAAGCCAGCCCGTTTGTCGGCCCACCTCTCGCGGCGCTTTGCAGCTCTCTCCTCCCTCATAGCCCTCCGGCCCCGTATGTCTGCGTCTGCCTCGAAGCGCTGGTTGTCTGCGTGTAGGCACTCGCATGTCTCTATCCTCGTGTTTGTCTGTCAGTCGGGTGGTCGGGCGGACAACCCTTTTGTGCACAATCGTCTGAGCAGACTGTCAGACGGCAGCAAGCATAGCGACTCCGACCGGTTTGACTTGTGCTCTCTCGTCCACGCAGGGGCTGTGCACGAGCAGATGATCGCCAGACCCGGGAAGTGCTTGAGCTGCTGGGGCAAATGGGAGTATCACTTCGTCTCCTAGTGAAGCGCGTAGGGACGCACACACACACACACACACATGCACACGCACACA